GTACTCGGCTTGGGATTTAACCCAATGGTTTATCAAAATGTGGTCTTTAAAATGCTTTTTATTGTATCAAGCTCGCTAATCTGATTTTGGTATTTAGGCTTTGGAGAGAGACGATCAGACGATTAATCGTGTATTAAAATTGGACAACAATATAACAACAAATTTGTATATATTTGTCTAGAATTTATTGAAATTTATAAATGGTCTATTTTTCTTAAAAAATCGTTTTCTACTTTCTTTTGCTCAGATATATATATATTTTGGGAGGTCATTATGAAATTGATAATTGGAGTGTAATTTTAAAGAAGGGGAATTTGTTCTTTTATACTTTTGTCCTTTTCTTATTACAGAACAAAGTCTTGACCAATAAAATAAAATAAAATAAATACCCTCAAATTCGATTTTTATTATTACTATTTAAGCTCATTTGGGAACCCTACGAAATTCTTCTCAATCGAAAAAAAAAAAAACAGACGCCATGGGAGGAGTGAAGAGGAAATCCAGCTCGAAAACCCTAGCTAAGGGAAAGAAGAAGAAAGGACCTCACTTGCCCAACTCAATACTCAGAACCATTGCGAACGAGAAACGTCCTTTGAACTCTGACGAAGAAGACGATGAGATCGATTCCGATGATGGTAACGGCGGCGACTTGTATGAATACGAAGAAGGTGTCCCTGAGGAAGAATCCGGGAAAAACAAACGTTACGGCGATGTCGAAAACTACGAGTTCAAGTTTCCGGAGAATTTCAAGGTTTTTTTTAGTCTTAATCGATTGTGTTTCCTTATCGTTTGTTCTAAGTGAAATTGGCGTTTGAGAAGTTAGATTAAAAGTTGCTCTGGATTTGAGGAATTCGGGATTTTACTTGGATTAGCTCTTGTATTCGAGATTGAGATTAACTATTTGTGAATCAAGAAGTTCTTAATTGATTGATTTGTATGAGATTTGCTACTTTTGAGCTGGTTTTTGGCAATATTCCTTACTGGTGAACTGTATTCATCTCTGTGTAGGATGAAAATGTGGAGTCAGATAATGATGATGAGGATAGTGAGAACAGCGACAATGGTGAAGGCGATAGACACACACGAATGTTGCATGCTCTTACTGGAATGCCAAGTGCAGCTTTTGAAGGTATTGATAGTAAAAAAATGAGACTTTCTTCTTGGTTTTATCTTCTCTTTATTGCATTTGTAAGCTGTATATATAACATAATGTTCCTTTTATTTTTTTGTTTCCTGGAGAGAGTAAAAGCAAACCTGTACTCGTCACTGAAGCATATCCAGAGTCTGAATTCAATCCTACCCGTGATGTTCTGGAGGGTAAAGGTCTCATCACAATGGAAGACCTTTTGGCGCCTCTTCAAGGAAAACCTGGGTATAATCAACTAAAGAAGAGGATCTCCCGGATAGAGAAAGATACTCAATCTGTTGTTCATGCTCCTTTGCCAAAGCCAGAACGAGAAAGACTGGAACGGAAAGTGGTGCAAAAAGAATTTGACAAGGAGATGGATACGTGGGTGCATCAGGTAAAGAGGAATAGGGAGGCACCAACTGTTTACTTTAACCAAGATTTCAATATTGGGTATTCTACGGTTGGCGCAATAGCATCAGAATTTAAACCCAGGACTGAATTTGAGATGAAAATGGCTTCTATACTCAACAATAACGAGGTTCGGGAGGCTCACCAAGAAGATGGTGCTAAGCTTCTTGAATTGAACGAGGCAAGTTCTGTGGTCTATTTTAGTCACTGTGTGCAGCTTGTTTGACTTATAAATTCATCTGGCATGTCGCTGCATTGAAAAAAGTTTATATGAATTTCTGATGTAACTGTTTGGATTAAATTTTGATGTGGCAGGTGTCTATGGAAGACCACATCAAGGACCGTAACCACAGTGCTAAGATGCGGAGCCTGCTCTTCCGTCAAGATTTAAAAAGTAAACGAATCAAGAAGATTAAGTCTAAAACTTATCATCGTCTTAAAAAGAAAGACCTGATGAAATCAGCAGTGGGAGGAGCATTAATGGACCCAGAAATGGCTAAAGAGGAGGCTTTGAAGCAAGAGACTAGACGAGTAGAGGTGAGTCCAAAATTTCCCCTGCACAAATTTTCATCAGCACTGTCAAAAAAGTTATAAATTGTCTTATTTGTGCACATTGTTATGTGCTTATGCAGGAACGTGCGAGGTTAAGGCACAAAAACAGAGGAAAATGGGCCAAACAAGTGTTAAGACTTGGACTGAATGTGAAATACGACGGAACTCGGGCAGCTATGGCTGAACAACTTCAGATTAATGCTAATTTGTCCAGAAAGATGAACTCCATGAAAGATGGAAGTAGCAGTGATGAGAGCGATGATGAAGATGAGTTGAATGATGGTTCAGATCAGGATACTCCTTCTAAATTGATAGCAAAAGCAAAGGAGAAGATACTGGAAACTTTGGAAGATGATGAAGTGCCCAACACTGGTGTTCTGTCATTACCTTTCATGGTAATTCTTGCTTTACTTTCCTCAAAACATTTTTGATTATTTTATCCTTGTTTTCATTCTTTCATGTGTTGTCTTTTTTGTTGTTGTGTGTATGGTTAGGTTCGCGCTATGAAAAAGAAGTCCGAGGAAGCTAGGGAAGAAGCTGAATGTGCACTTGAGGAGTTGGAGAACTCTGGTGGAGCAGAAATCCCTAAAAAATCCGTTAATGTTAGTGGTAGAAGAGTGTTTGGTGCAACCACTAAAGTTGAAGTTCCAAAAGAGTCTAAGAAGGATTCAGACAACTTTTATGACAACAGTGATAGTGACAATGATATGGATGGCATAAAAGATAATGACTTGGCTGTAAAAGATAATGATTCACCTGCTAGAAACACCGGAACCATTACAGAAACCGAGGTATCTTGCTTTCTAGTTCGGTTAATCATAATGATTCTTTCTTCTCTCCCTTTCAAATCTCTGATAACAGTTTTTTTTTTTTGATTTAAAGTTCGATGATATTGCTGGAAATCCAGCATCTAAGACAACATTTGATGTTGCCATACTTGTTCCAGACTCCGGGAAGAAGGTTTGCTTCAAATTTTTTTTAATCACACTTGGTCTCTTTTTGTGTTATCTTTTATTAATTCCTTTTTGTATGTAATGCAGATGGCAGGCTGCAAAAACACGGAATCCAAAAAACCTTCAAAGACTCATGTACCCATTTCACAAGACCAAGATAAAAAGGTTTATTTCCTTCAAATCTCAATGGAATTATACTATTTTTTTTCCTTTTCTTCACTTTCCAGTTTTAGCTTCAGGTGGTTTTCTTTTGTCACTTATGTGTGTTTTTCTTTGAAATCATGAAAGGAATCAAGAGACGAAGAAAGTGAAGATTCAGATAGTGAACCAGAAATGGTGGACGGGATTTTGACATCTGCTGCGGAGGAAACCTTTGAAATTCCTTCTCAAGCAGAGCTTATAAACCGTGCTTTTGCTGGTGATAATGTCGTTGATGAATTTGAGAAGGATAAGCAAGAGGTTCTTAATCAGGAAGTTCCTGAACCCGAGAAACCGGTTCTAGTTCCTGGTTGGGGACAATGGACCAATATCCAAAACAAGAGAGGTTTACCTTCATGGATGGTTAGAGAACATGAGGATGCCAAGAAAAAGAGAGAGCAAGCTCTCAAAACAAGGAAAGACGCACGTCTTAAACATGTTATCATATCAGAGAAAGTTGATAAAAGGGTCAGGGTCTCATATGCTTAATATCTCCATCACTTTGTTCATAATCATATGATCTAATGCTTTATATTCTCTGTTTTTGACAGGCCGAGAAACTTCATACAAAGACTCTACCTTTCCCTTATACGTCGAAGGAAGTTTTTGAACATAGTATGCGTATGCCTATAGGACCCGATTATAATCCCGTGACTACTGTTGGAGATCTAAACCGACCTGAGGTACCTTTTCATTACTTAATCAAACTCTCATTAGCACCCATCTCGGAAAAGGTTCATATCTTTTTGACCTTGTGGCGATAAACCTTTGTGTGCAGGTTGTGAAGAAAGCTGGGGTCATAATTAAACCGATCAAGTTCGAGAAAGTGAACCCAAACGAGAAAGTAGACGATGATGAACACCCTCGAAGCCAACAGAAACAAAGACCCAAAAAGGGTAGTACAACT